CAATCATTTTTCATCAGAAATGGACTTCTACGCTCTGTTAACAGGTAAGAATACAGAATTTAATGGTTTTTAATGTAAATAAGTTTCTTTTCACAAACATTACAAGCTAACTTTTCATAACAAGTGGGTTTTATTTTATTTTTATGGACTGAGAACAATTTGATAAAGCTGACAACAATCAACCTTTCATAGCTGTAAAATGGGTGTTTTTTGGACCACTGCCGTTCTGCCTATTTCAATCTGAAAAACTCACACAAAGAGAAAAGACAATTAGGAGAAATGTATTAATGCAATTACTTTGTCTTTTGTGCTCAGACCTTGGCAGGAAACATAGTGCTTAATTTTGATAGATATGCATGAACAGGAGCAAAGAATAGGGCTGTTTCCCCCCCAGGCCTGAAGCTGGTGGTGGAGTGGAGATAGATGATGTTGGTTAGTCTGTAGACTGCTGGTTAGGGAGACGGTATACTGAGCTTTATGGGGAGATCCAGTTGACTGCGTGAGCTGATACTAGAGCTTCACTCGGGGACCTGGAAGATGGAAGTCCAGCTTGGATAACATGATGAGCAAGCATGAGGCGACAGTGAAGAGGAAAAACTCCCCGTTGAGAAGAAACCTCTGGCAGAACCAGGCTCAACATGGCGGTCTTCTGCCGGACCGGTTAAGATGAGACAGGGAACTCAGCAAGAGTCCGGGAGGAATGACACTCTGATGAAGCTTTAGCTACGATGGTGGAGGAGCGGCTGGAGGTGGGTTGAAACAGTATCATCTGAATGAAGCCACTCAGCGTATCCGCCGTCTGCGCACAGGAGCAGACAGGTGCGTATAGGGGGCCTTTTAAGATAAACTTTGGATGCTGCTTGGCTTTCGTGGAGGTGTGGTTCAAAGCTGATTGGATGTGTCACAGGTGGATGTATGAAAAACAATGAGTTTCTTTAGTTGAACTTCTGCCCAAGCTCTATATATCAATAAAATAAACAGTGCCTTATCACCCTGGGTTCACACAGGGTATCATGAGTTATTTTCCTTGCATATAGTCAACCCCTGCCAGGTGTATTTTATATAGACCAGATGAACCAGACAGACGTGAAGAATAAAACCGATCTGGTACATTTCTAAATAGGATAGAGTGGGGCTGTCCATCTGCATTAATGGACCCTTTATGCATCCAGAGTGAATTGCTTCACAGGATAACATGTGAGAGATTAAAAGGAATACACAGAAAGTAGTCAGTGTAACCCAGGGTGAGAACGTTTCTGTCTTTGACCAGAACCCAGAATTTTGGTCAGTTTTGCAATCAGATGCAAAGTCAGTAATCCTACTATTAATGTTCAAATGAACAGTAAACTATGTTTACAAGGATATAAATATAAAACAAAGTAAAAAAAAAAAACAAGAACTAACCTACCTAAAGCTGTCTTTGCCTGATAAGATCAGTTATTTCTGTAAATACTATTTTTGTAACTATTGTATTTTACTTTTTCCCTTTAAAGAAGTTTACATCGACTCGTTGAAGTGCCAGATAAAGTGTGAGGAAAATCTGATGCCCAACGTTGGTGGTTACTATGTAGAGAACTTTGTGTCCACTATTTACCACTACCTCCAGTATGCTTATTACAAATGTAAGTTCAGCACAGGTTGAGCAAATAAGCTTTTCTACCTCAGATTCATGTTCTGTAGCCTGAACCCTAACTCTGTTATTCTCTGCACAGTGAATGACGGCCGTAGAGCCGTGCCATGTGCATATAGCTACTACCTGTTCCAGCCAGAAGACCCAGTAATGAAGGACAACCTGCTGTATTATAAGGCCTACAGTCAACAATGGGGTCTACAGTCGCATCACTTCACACCAAGAACAGTAAGAGGAACTTCCTCTAAAATAACAAACACAGAAACAGTTCAGAAAATATAACACAGAAAATCATAAGTAAAACAATTCTAACTTCTCCATTCCACTTATATTTAAAACAATTTAATTCAATATAATATGAATTAATAAAGTAGCTGGATTTTTGAAGTTGGAAAAAAAACACTTAAATAAGTTTAAGAAATAAAATATCCCTTTGAAGGGAAATAAAATGTTTAAAAGTTATTTAGACTCTTAATAGTTCTCCCTAAACTTTTATATCAGATTATTAACGATAAATTTCTATTTTTCCAAGGCTAGCTACAGGGACGGCAGTGAGTCATGTAAATATAATCTGTATTTTAACAGGAGGCTGTCAGATACTACAACAAGACCATCACTCAAAAACAGATGTTGACATTTATAGGGAAGTACTTGGAGATGAATGATGAGGTAAACCATTAAAAAATTGTTTATTAAAACATTTCCAAAACTCTAATCTCACCGTGTGCTTCAGTCGTCCATTTAACTATATGTGCTTTTTGTTATTTCTCCAAGGATTTCTGTGAACCAGAAGAAAATGCAGATATTTCCTCTGAGTCTCCTGATGCAGAGTTTGAAGGCGTGGGAGACTATGAGGAGTCCATCTTTGCAAGCTGGACGCAGATAAAAGGAAAAGGAGATGCAGGAGAGGCTGAAAACTGAAGAAGTGAGGAGTGGTCACAGTATTTCATCTTATTATGATCTTTTATTCTTCTTCAAGGGAATTTCAGAATATATTATTTTATTAGATACTACCTAATACGCAGTGACGTGCGGTGAGGTTCATAGCTGGTGAGGCACTGACGTCATCAGAATCAGATTTGCAAATAGATGCATAGATTGACAGCAGTTTACAGGTTATGTTTCACTTCTGCATCCTTACACATACAAACTGTAGCTCACAAAACACACATTTCCTTAAAAAACAAAACAAAATAAATGTTATTACTGTCTTACCTTTACTTATAAATGAATAGAAGTCCTCCTTATCTTCCTTCAGTTTTAAAAGTCTCTCTGTCTCAATGGAGATCACTGCCAGGGAAGAAAGCCTTCCTTGATCCGTCCTGTTCCTGCCTTATGTTTTCAGTCTCTTGAGCACCCCCTGCCATGAGGCAAGAGAACTGCCTGCCTCACCTCGAACTTGTTCTCTGCCGTTTATAATCGCTCATTACACGAAACACGTTACACAAACACAGTTGGTGACAAAAAGCTCTGTACATTATATACATAAGCCAAATTATTAGAAATAAGTTCACATATTACATTTGTTTAAACCATTTTATTGACGCCGTACAGCAACATGCTCTCTCCGCTTTGCAGCCAGCGCAGAGCCAGGGGTTGCGCAATCCAAGGTGAGGCAGAGCTCGCTGCTGCCTCACCGGCATCGCTTCCAAGCATTTGAATGGGAAAATAAGAAAATTCAGCGATTTTGAACAAATAAAAATCGAAATTGGTGAAGCTACATGAAAAATGAATATTTTTTAGTACAAACCACCGGATGAATATAACAATTTAAATTACTTTATGATTATATATTTTCTTTCTTTCCATGATGGCTGGTGAGGCACTGCCTCACCTGCCTCCCCTGACCGCACGTCACTGCTAATACGTGTACTTCAGCAACACACAATTTAAGCAGAAAGGAGTTTATTTTTGCTTTGCTTCCAATTACATAGACATTATTGTACTCGTTTGCTGATGTCTTTTCATTTTAAGTTCTATAAATAATTTTATCTCCAGCCCTGGGAAGATGGACGACATTTTGAACAGAAAAGAGGACAAAAGAGAAAGTAGAACACCTAAAAAAGTATTGAATAATATGATTTAGAAATAGGAAAATAAGTGCTTAGTTAAAGCATTATAATGTGGTCTTTTAATGTATTTAACATTTTGTATTTTTAGAGCTTCAACAATAAAAAGGGAAAAAAAATATCAGATTTTGTGACCTGCTGTTGCTTCTTTGTCTGTAGATCCAGACTGAAATGGGTTATTCTAGTTTTCTGCATATTAAAGACATGTTTGGAGGAAAAATTAGGTTAGAAATTAATGCAAGAAGAGCTTTGAAGAAAATGCAATATATTTTAAATATAATTTGAAACAAAAATTACTTAGTATTTTCTTTCCCCAACCACAAAGTAAAAGACAGCAGAAAATTATGACAAAGTATGGATGGTTAAACCAAAGCGACTTTAGTAAGAATATTGTTTTTTTTTTTTTTTGTCAGGAAGAACCAAAAAGTAAAATAAAAAAAAAAGGTAATAGGTCTTTAAATATAGTTTGGTTTAACCTGAGGATTCAGTCTTTTATTAATTCACACCTGCTATATAAATGAACTTATTGATTGGAAAACATCTACAATGTTACAGTAAGTAAATACTGTCATGAGAAAATCAACTTTAATCAACTCAAAGGAGACATAAAGGCCAGAAAACGTCCCTTAAACAAAATTTTTACCAACATTATTGCAACAAGGTTATCAGAGGGTTATTTTTAAATATTCTTTCCCTATCTGTTTTTATGGAATGATGTAACGTCACAAATAAAGCTTTAATATAATTTGAAATTTTGAATGAATTTAATCAATAAAATTTTATTTAAAACAAATTAACCAGTCAGTTCAAAATGGAAATACTTTGAGAGCCACTTTTTTTGTTGTTGTTGTTATGACCCAAATTCCCTACTTTTTGCTAAATGAGGACAGTATTGTGGTTCTTAAAAAAAATGGGTTCTGTAAATAAGGCATTTCAGTTTGTGCTATTCCGCTCTTTGATTCATCTTTCTGTATTTAAATGTTTTCCTATAAAGGAATTTATTACATTATTCTAACTAACTGAAAGGATAAAATAATACATTTCCCATTTTGATGAAGATTTTAATCTCTCTACATTTTTTTTCTTCCATTAGTAAAACAAATGAATTCTTTTTCAAAACAGTATCATGTCGAAGTTGTCCAAGACTTTAAACTCAGATAATCCTCATTAAAACAAAGCCACCAATAGTTGCTCAGCTAAAACTAGTGAAATGTGTTTTGTTTTATAGGATATCTAATTAGTAAAATATAAGAGTAATGAGACATTTTCCGGTTAGACAAACACCAAATACACCATCAAAATCAGGTATTCAGGTATTCTTTAATATAGTTAATTATGTGTTTGCATCGAAAGTCAGGAGAAAATGATGCCAACATCCACATCCATACTCAGGAAACAAATCATAACCTCATCTTTTCCTCAGTCATCATCCTGCCTTTAAATCAGAAGATACTCCTTTAATGCCACTGTAGGATGCTGGCAGTGTAGTTTGATCGTTCTTCTGGGGATCTATGCCGCTGCCCTGCTGAAACCTGTTAGAAGACAACACCTGATGAGGGATAACCGGAGGAGCCAGATGTGACACACTCCACAGCTCAGAAGGAAGTGATGTCACAGAAAAACAGCTTAGCTAATTTTACTGGTTTTCTACATAGTAACAGTTTAGATATTATGATCTAAACTAAATGTATTGCTTATGTGAAACTTTTGTATCACTTAACTTTATATTTTATATGCTTTTCGCAGTTTGGTTGCACAGCTGCATAAATTTACTGTGCCTTGCACAAGTTGTTTACATTTGGTCAGATTTAAACCACAAACTTCAATGCATTTTATCAGTTTATATATCAGATCAACATAAAGTGAAGTAATCGTGAAGTGGCACAGTTTTCTAATATTATTTATACATTTTAAAAAGTGACCCTGCAGGTATAACCTATCTGTGGATTGATGGATACCGTTTAGATTTAGACATATTCATGCGGTAGAGCCGAACAAAAGTTCCAATAGAGGATCTGTGGGAAGACTTAAATTATATTGCCAAAAGTATTCTTTAACTATTTAAATAATATAATTTAGTTGTTAAAAATATTTCCATGGCATGCAGACTCTTTCTACAAACCTTTGGCAAAGGTCTAGTAATTTTTAGCTTGGTGAATTCCAAAGAGGTACTGTGATGGAAATCTAGTCATGTTTGTCAACTGTCAGTGGTATCTTCAAGTGGAAGCGATTGCCATGTATAGACACGAGGTGGACAGAAGACACAAATGTTTGCAAAGACCTCAAAATTTCATGTATTCTTCAGATTGGCTCAAGAACTTTGCACATAAAGCTTCTTGGGAAAAGTTTTGATAACCCACCAGCTACATCCAAACCATACATCACTAAATGCAATTTAAAGGGCCATAAAGTGTGCCACTACTGAACGCTAGAGCAGTGGAGGTGTGTTCTCTGGAGCACTAAAAAAAAAAAAAAAAAAAAATGTAATCCAAGTAAGTACATTTTTCTTAAAATATAAATATTTTTTTCTTGAATTAAGCAGGTAAGTGAAGCACTTTGCTGATGGAATAAGACAATTTACATTTTAAATAAAAAAGATATTGCATTTCATTATTTCAAGTGCAAAAAAGTGTACAATCTAATGATCTTATCCAAGAGTAAAACGACTCATTCCGTTAGAAGATTGTCTTATTTACCTTCTTAAATTTAAGGGTAAATGCACTTATTTTAAGCAACTTGCACTTATTTCTAGATAGTTTTTGCAGTGATTTAGTAATTGTGCTTCTGCATCATTGAATTTTGTGGGAGCAGTTTGAACATGATCACTTCCTCTTCCAATAGGAAAAATGCATGTGCAGCAAGGTCATTAAATTAATGTGTGTAAAAAAATTGGCATCAGCCTGACTGTGCTGCATGGATTCCTGTCCTGACGATAACCAAACAAAACACCTTTGGGATGAATTAGAGCGGAGGCTGAGAGGCAGGCCTTCTCATCAAACATCAGCGTGTGACCTCCAAAAAAATGTCCGAAACTTCCCATAAACCCTCTCCTAGACCATATGACAGCGTTTCCTGAAGGGTTAAGCTTCCATAGCTGCACAGGGGAACCAATGACGTATTGAGCTCTGTAGATTAAGAATGAGAGGACGCTTAAGTTTACATGAGTCAAGGCAGGTGACAGAACCTGATTGAAATGAAACTTTGCCAAAGAAAAGTGAGCCAACTTCAAAGTTGGAAGAGATGTAACCCAAAACCCCACTTCAGCATCAAATGATCACTTTGTGTTGATCTTTCGCATAAAATCAGGTTTGCGGTTTAAAAAGGACAAAATGTAAAAACTGTATACAGGAGTTTCCAAGTCCCAGCAGGAGATTCCTGACCTGATGTGTCAGTTACACACCCTGCCGTTGTGTTTAAATCTCTCTGAGGCATATATGTAACATGACAGTCGTCAACTGTTTTATTTAGACCCTTTCTGACTATTTCCTCTGTTGGAGGCAGGAAGAAGAGTCTCTGTAAAAGACTTGTGCTTCCGTTCACAGTGGCAGTAAGTCACTGCTGTCTAATTTAGACTCTAAGCTATTTACAACAGCACCCATGTTTAGCATTTCTGTATGCATATGTAACGTCATAAGAAAAAGTTTGCGAAGCCTTCACAATAATTCCCTGTACTTTAATGTAAAAAGAAACAGCAGCATATTTACCATTCTGAGGAACATCCAAGTACTGGGATAGTTACCAAATAAAGATTATTAGCAAATCCTTTTTATTTATTTTTATTTTTTTGAGTACGGACACTAGTGGCTTGTTTTTCTGACAGTAGGCTGAGATTAAAGGGGGTATGTAAATATTTGATTTTGATGTAAGAAGTGCACTAAAGTTGAAAAAAGTGTGCAAAGATGTGGACATTTGCAAATTTACTGATTTAAATGTTTGTAACAGATAATTACTTGGGCTTTGGCTGTGACTAATAGCGACACAAAGATGGAGGTCGACCACTGAGATAATTTCTTTTACAAAAATCAGAAAGTTAAATATGGAGGGTTGGGGATAGGGTAATGAAGACCTCTGATCTAGAAACTCCACAAAGGCTAACAGGAGGGATCTAGAGGCTATATTTAGAAGAGGACGCTAATTCTAACTCGGTCTAATTCTGTAATAATTCATATTTTCTGTTACTCCAATAAACATGTTATCACTCCCTTTTTACAGCTTTCATAAGAAATGATATAGTAAAAGGAAAGTGCTACTTTGAGAGCTCAGTCAGTTATAAACAAATAAAAAATCCCCCAAACTAAGAAGCTCCTAAACCTTTTCCTATGTCTGAATATATGTACATATGTAAATATATAAGTTTGGATATGGATTATATATTTTACAGCAGGGAGAATACATTCAGTGCAGACATGTGCAATTTTCCGTCAGGCTGTTCCGATGTCTTTAAGAACTAGCTTCCTTTAAAAGGTCCTGTAGCACATATATCATATCAAGGCAGCATAAGAGCAGAAATTATGGCTATTATTGTGGAATGTACAGTTCTAATCTATGGCATGTCTGAGTGGACAAAATGCCAACTTTCAATTACAATAAATGATATTTGAACCACCTGTATTGCAGGTAAAGTCCCATCATAGAGAGGAGAAGGCTGCTCCAGGAACTCAGAGGTTTGTTTTAATTACTTAAAGGGGGGAAACATAAGAGTCGGATCTACAGTCTGTGTCCAGAACCATGAGGTTAAATAAGAAGAAAACAGGAAGCGATGCGGTCAACTGTAACGTAGAAATCAGCTCCCATACAAATCCAACGACTGCCGGCAAGAACATTGGGAAGATCCTTCTTCCTCCTGACTTCCCCATCATTCAGATGTTTTTTCTCCAGGCAGACTAAACTCAGCTGGAGTTAGAATCAACGGTCGGAGCAGGAGATAGGAAAAAAAATAAATAAAAAGACCCGATGGCTGAGGAAGAAGAAGACGGCTCTGTTCTCTTCCCTCAAAGGGGACAGGATAGAAGGAAGACAGGAAACACAATTCAGACTCCTGAAGATCTGGACATGATAGCAGGAAAAGAGGAGACAGAATAGAAAGGCAGATAAAAAGATTAAAACATATAGATAACTGTGTAAAACCATGATACTGATACTTATTATGGTGAGAGGAACAGGTTTAAAATAAGAACTTTTGAAATAAACCTGACAACATACTTTTCCTCATGTTTGGTTTCAATCTATAAACCCATAGAACCCAAAAAATAAGACACTTGTCTTTTGATCCTAGAAAATGAGCATATGAAAAAAATACCTGCCAAAAAAATCCAACATTTTTCTATTGCATTTAATTTAAATCTAATATTAACTCTAGTTCCCGCAACACAACAATATTTTTTATTTTTCAAAGGCAGTTTTGAAGCTTGAAGCATTTTTTGCCTGTGAAAACTCAAAAGCGATTTCCAAATCAAAATGGCAGAAATTTTGTAAGTTTTTAGTACAGTTGCTAAAAGTTGATTTTTATGTATGTATAAAAAGAACTTCAGCATGTGGAAACCATAAATCAAAACTTTTTGAAGCAATTTATACACAAGGGAGAGAACAAAATAAAGAGTGGGGTTTAAAAAGCATACAGTATGATGGACTTGAGGGGGGAAAAATCCAGGACATTTTATATAAACACAGCAAAAGTAAAGCATAAAAAAACCAACCACAAAATAATGTCACAGACAAAGCAGAGGATTAAACTATGACTTAAAAACAAGTTTCTGACTAAAAATAAATTAAACATTGAACAAATGAATTATTTCTTAGCTTTTTTTTAGCTGCTGGATCCAAACCGTAATAGCTTTATTATATATAAATAGAAGACAATATAGACAAAGTGTTTTATTAATGGAAAAAGTGGTGCAAAGGAAGATAAACCACAAGTCTCTTTAGAGATAAGGATATTTTGTAAATGATAATAAAGAATTAAACTAATACTGAACAGGAAAGTAAGGCCAGCGATGCTCTAGGACTGGGATTAGGATTAAATGCCTGATTCGTACCGTCCTTTCCTGATGTTCCTGGATCGATAGAGATGAAGGGGAGAGACAAAGCAGAAAAAAACTCCAGTGAGATCATCAACTTACGCATAAACCACACTAGAAAAAAATCTGCTGGTTTAAAAGTTTCAAGAGCAGAAAGAGGAGTCGGAAGCAGGTCCTGTCATTCAGCATCGCAGACTAAACTCTGCCACCATGGGTGTGTTTATCAGAGCATTTCTGAGATGATGATGGAAGATTATAAATGATAGTGCAGACATGCCAATGCAAAGCTGCTGCGAGGATAACAAGAAGCAGATTGTAAACAAAGCAGAAAGAAAACCAACAGAAGAAACAAAGACCATGTAAACATGGTTCTAAATCCAACTAAATCCTGCTGATTTGTTGTTAGAAGTTCGTTTACTACAGACTCACACATCTAATGGTCCTGCTTTAGAATAGGAGCAGCAGCTCTCCAAGGTGGAACGTGGTGCATAGATTTTTGTTAAAGATTTCAGGTTGAAAAACTTTTTTTTTTGCAAAGCACATTTCCTTAAATAAAGATATCTAAACTTCTATAAAAAAAAAAAAAAACATTAAAAACTGTGTCCATGCCACAAATACCATCTTTAGCAGCACCATATTTTAAAATAGCTGACCCTGGAACTATTTTCTTCCTAGGTAAACTCAAATGATTAAAATAATCATCAGAAACATTCTTCTGAGCATTAAACAGACCATCGTCTCATCCTAATTCCTCGCTTCAGTAGGATAAAAAACTTGGGAAAGAGAGGATTGTGGGAATGACGGGTGGAAAAGTGAGAACCTTAAAGCACTAAAATTAATTTAAAAAAATAAAAATTTTATTGAATATACGGCAAGTAATGCTATTAGCCATTTTAGAAAAAAAAAAGCTGGTCAAACTTTAGTTATTTGAAAACGAAAAGATAAATTCTGAAATCCAAAGATTTTGCCCTTTTTCTTCCTTAATCTATTATTAATAAAGAAACATTCAAAAGGAAAACAATCTCCACGTTAAGAAATCTGTTAATAAAAAAACTTTGCACCACATTTATTCCTACAAGGCAAGGCCGGTTTATCTATATATCACATTTCAGTAGCAAGACGATTCAAAGTGCTGTGCATATTAGGAATATGGAAACACAGATAAAGGTGCATTGCTAGATAATAAAAAAAAATATTAAAAGGAAGAAAGTTGGGACTACAAATTTAATGTTTAGGTCAAAGACCACCATAAAAATTACAATGTTAAACTCAACTTAAGTTTAACAGTTGTCTGGGAGTTTATTTATTATTTATTATTCCAGATTAGTGGAGCATAAGAACTAAAAGCTGCTTAGTTCTAATTGTTGGTACATAGAGTAGATTTTAGCCAGAAGATCTGGGAATTAGATTCACTGACAAGTATTTTGGTGATTAACTGAAGGATTTTAAATGATCAGAGATCGCTGGGAAGATGTGCTATACATCCTCCTAGTGAGGCTGCAATATTCTGAGTCAACTGCAGCTGTCTGATTTACTTTTAGGCAAACCTAAATCAAGTCCACTAAAGAACAACGCATGACTAGGTTTTTGAAGGTCCTGTTGAGGCATTTGTCCCTTAATCCTGGAGACGTTCTTTATCTGATAGAAGACTTTGTTACTGCCTTTATGTGTTTTTGAAGGTTCAGGTATGCATCCATTACTACTTTGGTTAGTGGTTAATTAACTGAAGCTGTGTGTTAACTTTTGAATACTCTTCCTTTGGTCTAAAATATGATTACTTCCATTTTGTTTTGAATATGCATTTGTTAATGCATTGATGGTCACTTGGTGACATTGTAATGTACAATGTAATGTAGTGTTTGTCATCAGCCACGCAAAGCCTAACAAGCCTCTAAATATTATTCATACAATAATAATAAAAAAGATTAATAAGTCATGTAACTGAACAAACATGTAGATTTACAAACTCATACTGTGGATACAGCTGCTTTTAAAAGCCCTTATGGTCTCAGTCAGGTTGGAGCAGACAGTAGATAGAAGGCGTGTCAGGCAGCAGCATGCTTGAAGGAGCACAACACACATGGAGGGGCAGAGACATGCACAGAGGCATGCCAGAGCTCTTACTTGAATCCCCAGCCAGTTCCCCCCAGGATTATTGCAGCTATCAGAATTGCACCGGCAACTGAACCTATTATGATATTGGTTCCACTCGGCCCTGTGGGAGCGAATTCAACGAGTGAGACTCAGAAAATAGACTGAGAATTATAAGTTTTATAACCTAAAAAGAAAAACACTTTAATTGTTCTCTTTTTAAATGTGTTTAACTAAATCTCACTTTGTTGGTCCAGCTACATTATGACCATTAAAAGGGCCCTGCAGCCGATAGTGAAAGGAGCTGAAATTAAGATTCGGCAATTTATTTTTTCCAGGACCTGCTTCATACAGTAGGCACTGTGGGAACTCTGTTTGTCAGGGAATGTCACACCCTCTCCACTAACTGCTTGAACTGCTGTAATCAAGCACAGCTTTTGGTTTTTAATTTATTCAGTCCTTTTCACACTGAACTGTCTTGTTTTGCTTTACAATTTGAGTCAAACTATGAACTTCTAAAATAAACAGTGGACTTGCCTTGGCAGAGGTTTGCTAATATCCTGTAGGAGGATCTGTGTGGTTACCTCTTTTTTCTAGGTCCTCTGCTGGGGTTGGAGAGGGACTCGGGTCGAACACGCTGCAGTCCTTTCCGGTGTATTCAGGATCACAGATACACTTCACCTCATTACTGCAGGTCTAAAAGGAAACAGGAGGAAATCAGCAGGTTTCTCAGTTTTAATCCTCTACTTAAAACATAATACAAAAAAATAAAAAAAAATTTAATGATCATAGGTAGATGATGACTTTTTAGGTCCCTTGGATTTTTTTCTGAACAATTTTTTTTTTTTACTTAAAAATTATGGTGATAGAATCAGTTGCATAGAGACAGAATCACAGTTTTGATCTGTTAAATGTTATTTTTAACCATGTGGAAAAAGACTATGCCTTATCCATTTTACTTCAATTATAATTTCTGTAATATTCCTGAATTTTAATGTATATTGACCAAAGAAACAACATTCCAGTGAATAACTTATTTAGCAACTAATATTTTTCGTTGCTTTTTTTTATTCAAGGGAAATGAAACTACATTTTTTAAATCAAAAATACAAATTTCCAAGTATAACAAAAAACTTTAAATGAACTAAATGAAGTGGAAATTTCCCTACACTTCTTTGCCCCCATGAAAACATGTGACCCCCCCCTTCTAGAGAATGCGGTCAGAACCGTCACTGCCAGACAACAGACAAGCTGTGTGCTTTGGTTGGTTTTGGTAAAGTCTAACTGGTGACCTAGGAACAATCATAACCAGAGGAGCTTTTTGGGAATTCGGACTGAAGTTCCATGGTAGTTAATCTCTGTGATGATTAGATTTAGCCATGAAAAGTCGAGCGGGGCAGGGTTTTTGTTCTGGGGATTAGGAGGGTGGACTCACCCCATGGTTGGAGCAGATGTGTGAGGTTGGGGAGCTTGGGCAGGAGCTGAGGTTGAAGGTGGGGACAGGAAGGCATCGGCGCTCCAAACACATCATGTTTGGCCCGCACGGCGTCCCGTCCTCCACGTAGCCTAGATCCAGACCATCATCCAGCACTGCATGACCCCCACTGGAACTCAAACAGTTTCAGTAAATCGACCAAATTAAGCATCCTTTTTGACCTTGAAACGTTTCCTTTCCTGGCTCACCTGCAGTCCAGGTATCTGCTTTGGTGATGGATTGTCAAACTGGTGAGCTTTCCCTGCAGTTCACCAAATCTGGGCCTTTCTGTTAGATTGGTGCAAAGCAGCAGCCCGCACAGAACATCTCTGCGTGACAGGAGTAGACAGCACTGAGATTTATAAAAAAAAAAAAAAAAAATGATGCTGAAGGTTTTGTAAGGATGATCTTACTGTTTGTTGCACGGCAGCCATCCCTGCCCTCCGGGGTTCGGTCCACAGTTCCCTTTCTCTGTTCCCTCCGAATTTAGCTTTTCATAACAAAATCTGTCAGCTGAGTCTGAGGAAAGATTAAAGTCATCAAAAACAAATTATCCAGCTCCTTACAAAAGTCAGGCTTTCTCACTTTAGAGAAACCAACCTTAAAGTATTTTATTAAGATCTAAGGTGACAGTCCAACAAAGTAGGAATTTCATCCAGCCCATTTGCCATGATATTCAAACCCAGTGAGATTAGCTGTGTAATTTAGTCTCAGTACATATAACACTGTGGAGTGTTTAAACACACGCCACAGCATTGTAATATGGCAAAATGTCAAGAGATTCAAGGGTTATGAATGTTTTTATTTTCAAAAAATTCTCTCATCAAGGAGATTTGAAGTTCCCCAAAGTACCATTAGGAGGCAGTGTGGCTTCAAAAACTTACTGAAGCCCCACAGACTTCTGCACTGGCCATCTCTAGTCTTACAGCGGCCACCATAACAGCGACCCTGACGGGAAGATTGGACACAACATTAAAAGAGAGATAAAGCACTTAGATGATGGCAAGAAGATAAATATAAACATGTTATTTCACCTGGCCCGCTTCACATGTGTACCCGTCCAGCTTGTGGACATTGTGAGGACACTGAAAGAGACAGCTCCATCAGATATGCCTTGAACTAAACATGCATTTCTGGATATCTTCCTAAGAAGCCTGGTAGATGTTGTTCTTCACCTGGCTGGAGTCTCCTGTGCAGGTCTCAGGAATGTCGCAGTCATTCACAGCACCACGGCACGTCACTCCTCTGAGCTCATACTGGAGGACAGATAAAAAGTAAATCACAATCCTCACCAGAACTTACAATATTAGTCTGAATATAATAACAGTTGCAATATTTATTATATGCAGAAAAGTTTCACGTCATTTCCTGGGCATCTGCAGAAAATCTCAGAAGTGGAAATGTTTAATAAGTCGGTAGGGCTCACCTTGCAGTCCCTGCAACAGAGCCCATTGCTGCACATGGCGTTGTGGGTCAGAGTGCACTTCTTACAGCAGTTGGCTCCACTTTGAGTACAGTCCTAAAGGCCAGAGAGAGCACAGTCATTTATACCAGGTGTAAAGAGACAGAGCAGGTAGAGCTCCAAGCGTCATGTTTCAAAGTGACAAAAGATTTTTTGTTTGAAATCCTGCTCCTCTTTATTTATGGAAATAGCAATAACATTGCTTTTTTTAAGATCCTGCAGTGGCACTGTATAAAAAGCTACTTAAATAAAAATAGCTGACAATTTTAATAAAATCCTAGTTTGCATCATTCAGGCTTCTCAGCAGACTAAATTGTGGGTTATTACCAAGTTATGTGCTAAATGTTAAAAAAAATAATACTTTAGCTTTCCAACCAGTTTTTTTATATAATTGCAGCATGTTTATTGGCACTCCTGGTGTGAAAAGCCTAAAAATACATATTTTTCATGTCAGTTTGCTCCGTAGATGCTCATACAGATTTCTTTAACAAATTTTCTACTATATGTAAGTAAAAAATAGCTAAAAATCGAAAGCTTTGCAACCTACCTGTAAAGGAGAACAAAATAAAATTAATTTGTTGCCTTGGAATAACAAGGACCTCACCAAGCCAGTTGTTCCCTATAATATCAACCTGTGCTGTAGAGAAGGTTAGTTCCTAACCCGACCACAAGGAGGTGTGCAAGGGGCAACCATACAGCAACCAACATACAACCTTTGCCAACAGGTGAGTGTCTCAGTCAGGGTCGTGGCTCTGTTCTCATCTTCTCCCTATTTCATTAGTTTTTAGCAGCATTTAGGTCTGCAGGCTGAAATGTTATTGGGACGGTTGGTTTTGCCACACAATAGATTATTGAACCATAATTTATTGTATGATCAAAAGCTTAAATATTTTCAGTTTCCTGGTTGAGGCCAGAAGAGTTTTAAATGCATTTTCTGATATGATAAAGAGTTCAGAGTAGCTACAGTCCTTCTGCAAGTAAAAAGACCAAATTCAGATTTTTTTCACTTAAAAAAAAAAATCCTAATCATGCCAGTTCTGTATGTTTTACTAAATCAAATCTGATAGTTATAAAGCGTCTGCGGTCTGAGCGGTTATGTTATAATCCATCCGACTCTCACGTTATCATCAAGGCTCTGACTATTCCTTCATAGATTCCTGTACAACACAGCAGACGCTGCTCCAAAGAAACACATTATAAATAGTTCTGCTCTGATGTGATGTGATCATAAGATCGTTGTCTCCCATTGTTCAACAACAGAGATCCCGGCTGTTATTAACTTCATTGACAGTGTGCTGCTGTGTGACATTATTTTTTCGCAAGCAGGTTTTATATTTAAGTAGAAATCTGCATGAACACGCAAAACAAATCTGAATTGAAATCCTTGTAGATCCCTGGACTGTGTGGAAGAACAAAAGACTCAGAGCATCACAGGTCTTCCACTGAACTTAAGGTGTTTTTCATACATATTAATCCCTTATTTGACATCAGACCCAGCTGGAGTGTTTGCTGTTTAAAAAAGTCAATCTGCATTTTAATGTCACCAAAGCTGACCATTGGATTTAAAATCCCAGAAGAGTTTAGCAAACTCCCATGTTTATGTTTGAGATGGTAGGACCGCAGAAGGTTTTTTTTCTAGTATTCTTGCAAAAACACTCTATGAGAATAGCTGACTTCCATCTGTTATTACTGAAACCCCCCAAGATGCCACACATGTGAATATTCTGTAGTATAAACTACAGTACAAAACATTTTTCTTGCATCTGTTTAATAATAATTACAAGGGGTAAAGAAGTATGGCACCAAGGGGTTTGTAAAAAGAAAGATTTATTTTCTTCATTTCTTCTCTTTCAGCATGAAATTATGCTTCTAGAATAAAGGATCATATAATTTTCACGTGGTTTAAGACACATTATTATCAGAGGTACCAATAAGGGTGCAGTATTAAAAATATAATTATACCTGATATGAAAGTATACCTACCACCAGTGATCCACAGTCACATTGCTCTCCCAGCTCCACATATCCGTTGCCACACTCTGGCGGGTCTAAAAGCTACAAAAGATAACAGATGAGTAAACTGCACCACATTGATAGCTGATAGGGCTGAAACTAATAATCAGATTAATCATAATTAATCGATTATTGAAATAATCATCAACTATTTTAGTAATCGTTAATCCTTAACTGGAGTATAGAGACTCTAAAACATGGCTTTAGCTGACAGAGCAACCCACTTAGAGCAGTAATTCTATAAACATTTTTCAAAAAGTATATAAAAATTTTGAATTAAGATTTAAAAAAAACAAACTTTTTTGTCTGTCAATACGCTCTATCCAGAAATTCTCACATGGAAAATTTTTTGTTTCACTTGATTTAATTCTTTAAAAATCTTCTTTAAGGAACCCTTTGCTATCAGATTATTAATCAATTAATTCAAAAAATAATGCACAGATTAATTCACATAAGCAGAACTAAAAGAGCCAGCTTCCTCTCACCTTTGTAGGCTTGTTAAACAGGCAGCTCCCCCCTCCTTGCTGGAGGAAGCGTAGGTACTGATCTATACTGCAGCGGGAGAACTTCCTTGGCAGGTAATAGCTGATGGAAGTAGATATAATAACGGCAGTTAACTTTTGTTGGGTAATATTCATAAGTAAAGCATCAAACAAAAAATTCAGTAATGCTTAAGTATTCATACCTTTTTCATTAGGAACGTTTTATGGTGTGACAATTACAAATTTTATTGAATTAAAAGGAATTTTACTTGATTGATCAACACAAAATAGAGCATAGCATCAATTTCTACTGTGAGACATGGAGGTGACAGCAGCATGCTGCGGGGAGGTTTTTCCTCTATGCTTGGGAAAAGGAAGCTTGCAGTTTCAATTTCAGCTTTCAGTCAGAAACAATCCTAGAAGAAAAACTGGTACCGTATATAGATTTGGGAAGATTTAAGACCAGGGTGCTAAACGTAAGCCAAACATCCCGACAGAATAATAAAACTGTTAAGACTGAAGCACAATCATGCTTTGTTTGTAAAACCAACACAAAGAAGATCACAACTTCTTTCCAAATCAGTTCCACTCTATTTTGATTTAGCCTATCAGGTAAAGCTTGTGTTTATAGCATGACAAAATGAGGCGTGAACATGTTTGCAAGACATAATGTAAATGTTTCTTACACATCTACATGTTAAATTGTTTATTATATTCCCCCAAATCTGTCATACCCTGTATCCTCCATGATGCAGCCCGACCAATCTGGACACCTGCAGCCTCCTGGAATAAACAAAACATTGCTGTGATTAAAAAGACATCATAATACAAAGCTAAAGCTTAACCTAGTGGAGCAGTAAAAGTAAAATGTCTCTAACCAATCCTATATAAGGAGTTTTATGACATTTCTGATTAAAATCATGTTACATCAAGAATAATGCATCTTTGAGACTCAAATTCCACTTAAAAGAGCAGGTTTTTAACGAAAAACCCATATTGCAAATGTTCTAACTGGTCAAGTTAAAACCAAAGTTAATAATATATAATTAAGCCTACTTTTATCATAGCTGCTTCTCTGGACATTTTGGTTCTGTTCAGGTTTTCAGTTTTGGGTTTTCAGTTTTGCTTTGACTTTGGTCAGTCTGTGTTTCTTACTCATTAGTTTCATTTCCCTTTTGTGTCATATTAGTCTTCCTAGCCCTATTGTATTTCCCTGGTTACTCTTTATTCCCCCCTAGTGCTCCTCTCCTTTCCCCTTAGCTCTCTTCTAGTCTCTTCTGTCCACACCTCCTCCCAATTAGCTAATTACTCCATTCATTGTTCTGTCTCACTATATATATTTCTCCTCTGCAGTAGTGATGATGCAATGAAGCCTCATGAGGCATTGAACCGTTTTGGGCAAATTGCTTCAACAATCCCAACAGTTCATGAAGCTTTGAAAATGTCACACCTACTGGCGGAGAACATAATTACAGTTAGTATAATAATATGTGATTTTTTGCTATTGTTTTTCCTGTTTTTAAGTTCTTTTGAAGTTGTTCATGGTGTGTATAATAAAGTATTTTGTAATTTTTTGTGTGTGTAGAATGTCTTAGAAGAGAACAATCTTTAAAGACACACATTTTCTGTCATCTTAGTGAAATAAGCTCAAGCCGACAGTGAAAGTTATTGTGCAAATTGGGCAATGATGAGCAAAATAAAAAGTGTCAGTCATATCTATTCAAAAATAATAGTTTTCCACAGTTTTTTGGTTTTAATCATGTCGGAAGTTATGTGTCAAACCAATCTTTTGGTTAAACCAGCCAATCTAATTTGGCTGTGTTTTTACCCAATCTATATTGGTAAAAAGGGCAAACCAATAAAAATTGGTCACATTGGCCAAAATAAGTATTATAGCAACTTTCAAAAGTTTAAACCAAATGTTGAACCAACAGCCATCGGACTGGAAGGCAAAGGTTTATAGCAGATGCCACTTGCAATAATAAGTCTTCCTCAGAAAGTGATACTTGTAAATACAAATAATACAACTGAAACTAGCAGCTTGCTGAGATTCTGAATTTTATATTTTTTTATCCAACCAAACTGACAAGTGGTAACTGAAAAATAGAGATTGCAAAATATGTTTTAAGCTGTCAGAATTTGAGGAGTTTTATCCAGAACTCCTCAATTAGAAAAGTTTTAGTTTCACCTGGTTTAGTTTCATAAAAAAAACTTCTTTAAGGAAATTTTTGCTAATCAATTATTAATCAATTATTTAAAAAAAATAATGGACGGATTAATTTATTTGCAAATAATTGCTAGTAGCAGCCCTAGTCTAAGTCATAAAGAGGGTTCACATTACACGCTATGTGGGTTTCAAACTTTTTCCCGGTCTAATTTTAAAGTGTTACGTGTCAATGAACAGTTACTGTAAATGTCCAAATGTTACTTTCTGTTGAAAAAATAATAAAAACAACAAGGTCATATAAACATGTTTAAGTAGGAAAAGTAAAGACAGCTGATTAAAGTAAGTTAGTAATTTGACATGGTCTCTGAATCTGTCAGTTTGTTAACATCAATCATGTGTTACCTGCGGCTGTTTGATCTTTGTTCCTAAGCATGCCGATGTTCTGCCCAAGACTCTGACACAGAGTGATGGCCATTGGACCCACACTGCCAAACTGAGGAATCACAAATTAAATCAATTTAAAGAATTACTGGGAAAAGTTATCATGGGAGCTACGTACTGCTACAGCTCATGCTCCAACTCACCTCATTGATGCCCCCACCCCTTGTCAGCGAGCAGATGCCCCCAATGTAAGATGCCTCGCTGCGGCTGCTCCTGAACGTCCTCCCTCTGAAACACAAATGCAAATTTATTTGGATGAGAGCAAAGACAACAAACTGGAAGGAGGTCTACAAGAGATCAGTAAGTAAAAAACTAAAGCAAGAATAAAAGAAATTACGAGAAGAGGTGTACAGCATCATAGCGCTGCTTGATGCTCTCCTTCCTGTACTTCATGAAGTCTCGCAGGGTCAGCAAGGCATCATCACCAATGGCGATCTTGTTTTCAGACGACCAGGTTTCCATGGCCACCAGGACAATGCGGGTGTTGAGCTGCTCCTTGTAGATCTGGAAACACAGAAAAAAGGGAAACCAAGGCAGATTTATGCAACAGGTCAGGCACAGTTGCCTCTGCAACTAAAAGGTTTAAATGTACTTTTATTAATGGGGGATCATTTTATAAAAATCTGTTAATTTAATTAGCAGTAATTCATAGGGGTGCTTTAAAAAAACTGCCTTAAATTAGAGTTAGATCCTTGAATTGTGTTGCAAAAGATGGCTGCATGTCTACACTGCATGTTTCGGTTTTTGTTAATCTACAGACACAACAGGCAAATATATTTTTGTCAATAACAGGCATGATTTTAATCACCCCTGAATCTCTGCTACACAGCCAATAATCAAACAGTTTGTCAGCTGCTGCACCAGTGAAAACAAAACTTTGCACTTGTTTTATGCAAATATTATCTAAAGCAAGATAATATTTCAAGTCATCTTGAAAATGGGATCACAATCTTGTTTTCTCTGATTAGATGAGCCCAATGAAAAGAGGTAACCTGCATTAAAGGGAACCGCAAGAATTTAACCACAGGAAGCTGGAGAAGCACTACAAGTTTGTTTTGAGGCTCCAGACTTGGATGCGTTGTGTCGACCACATTAAGAGGACATCAATGCAATGATTGAGTTTATAACTGACTACATTTAGTTCTGGATAGATAACACTATCCCCACCAAAACTGTGAAGTTCTTACCAGAAATAAACCCTGGCTCAACAGTGATCTGAAGAGACTGCTAAATAAAAGACAGGATCATTATGGATCATTGGTGTCTACATATTACATCATAGATGCCCTTTATTTTCTATAGTTTCTGTGATAAAAAGGGAAAGACTAGAGAGCATGTCACTAAAGTAAGGACGGGGTGTGCTAATATTTATAAATCAGGGCAATGTGAAAATATGTGCACACCTCTCAAAAGTAATACTGTAGCTAAGGTTTAATGCTAGAGCTGTAACAAACATCACTGGATTAGGACCAAACCATTATACTGATTCTTGGTATTTAGGATTTATCAAATGCTTATGACAAAAACTTGCTTCAAGGACTTTTTAAACATTTTAAGCAGGTATGTTAATAGTTATGCAGAGCTGCTGTATGTGCACAGGTCCTCTTAATCACTGTCTATGCCCACTTATCTTACTGAATGGGCTGGTATCTATTCATTACTCTTCAGTGGGGTAACAGTGAGGCAGGCAGTCCATCACAGAGACACACCAGACAAACAATCGTAGATGATTACAGGCAAACTAAGGCAATTTAGAGAGACAAATCACCTAATCATTCATGTCTTTGTACTGTGGAGGAACAAAACCAAGAACTTTCTTCCTAAAGCAGAACAGTGCTACTAACTGTGTAGCACCCCACAGGCGATTCCTTGACACCTAAACCAATTTTCAATCATTTTTAAAAATGGTAAACTTTTCTTTAACTTGCTATTAAAAACACCCAAATTCCCCAACTGTGAAAGAGTACAGGACTGTTCCATTCTACTCTATTCACCATATCTGCAGCATTAGAAGCTGCAAATCTGATTTTTAACTCCAATCTAAACTCTATTTTCCCTTCTTGAAGGTAGGGGAGACATTTATGTCAGCAACTTTAAAGCATAATGCAGCAGCAGAAGACAGACAGCTATCTGTTTCCATGGAAACCAATAAAACTGTTAGCCTCCTTAAAATGAGGGTTGCTTTTGAGCAAAAGACTCTATCCTAAAAAATGAATTCTGAAGAAGCACCAAACCATCACAAATGCTTATTAAAGTAAATACATAAATATTTAATAATTTACTAATAAATAAACAATGTCTACCTAATTTTAGTCCTAATATTAAAGGTTTTGCCTCTCTTATTGATATTTCTACGAAAGATTTAGTTTTTAAAAATAATTGGATAGGACAAAATTCAAAATTAAAACCTTCTCAGTACTATGGAATTAAATATATACTCCTGATCCACTGCAAACGGAGAAGAAATCTGAAATAAATAAAACTTGTTACAATGTCATCTAAAAATGTCTAATTTCAAAATATACAACTGATTCAAAAGAACTGGATAAAAACAAGGACATGACAGTAATGAAATTATTAAGGCACTTTGGCCCAGTCCATTTTTAAAGTACAGTTCATGCATTTTAATTCGAGAAATTTCTCACCAAATCTGCCAAGTTCACCACGGATTTGGCAAAAATCTTTGCTTGCGTGGTTGATCTGCGGAGCTGCACAAACTAACAGAAAACAGAGCTTTTGTTGTTGTTTTTTTCATCTTTCATCATCCAACAACTTTTAATATCACTTTCAAGAGGTGAGAAAGAGACAAAGCGAACCTACCAGCTCATAGTCATTGACGATCATCAGCTCAATGTACTTGGTCTCAGATTGAACAGTGCGTTGGCCTCGCCTCACCTGTGAAAGACAAAAAAACGAGTCCTGAGAGTTGATGTTCTAATAATAACCTTCACACAGCAAAGACTTTAAGCAAACACAGCAGGAGTAAGCATTACTCACTCGGCATGAACACAGATTCACACCTGCTGAAGATGGTGAAACTTTAGTTTGTGTCCTTGAGAACAGTAACCAGCTGTTTCAAACTGCAGCACGTTTCCAAAACTTTTGTCTAGAATGCTTATATTAAATTCAAAATGTTTCCAGTAGGAGGAACTCTGTCAACTTAACTTCAAACCAACAACTCGCTGGTTGAAACCTGGACACAGTTTGGTTTTTGGGACAATAAATTCTAACAAAACTTTCTTTGAGCAATTGATAACATAAAGACCCAGTGCACATGACACCTATCCATAAAAAAAAAGTTTTGCTGTTAAAAAATCTAAATGACAATATTTTAATTGCAATCTTAATGTACAGAACGCAGGTAGAAACAATGATTTTTGGTGAAATCTGACAAATTGCTTTGTGCTTGCACTGTTCAATCTCCATCACACTGAATTGGTTTCCACTTTCAGGTGCAAAGGAAAAGATGTACCTCCCTGTATAGGTAAGTTCTTCTAATCCAAGCATATGGAGCTGCAGGCACAGGGGGCCAGCATTATGATTAATGGTGGAAGCACACATCAGAGGTCAAACGAAATCTCGGAAACTTAAGTGCCAACTGCAGGAAGTCAATACCAACAGAGATTTAATGAAGTCATATCAAATCCACTTACCTCAGGTTTAGGCTTCTCATTAACAATTGTCAGGATAAGTTTTTCCCCTTAGAGGAGGTAAACTGGAGGTACTACATGTATATTAGGTATAGGTATTAAATCATCCTAAATGATTAATTAATAAATAAATAAATTTTCATAACACATTTATTTTGAAATGAAAGTCATTACTTCACTCTAAATCTAAGAAGTGAAGTAATAATATGTCATTCTAAGGAGTTTGCAGTCTATTGCATTGTTATCTTTTGTCCCGTCTTAAAGCAGGAAGTAATTAAATGTACAAGTTTTAAAGACCATTCTGTCTAAATGACAAAATGGTGTTAATTTTCTAATAATAATATAAAAACAGTGCTAACTGAAACAAAAAAATTAGATCATCGCTGCGTAAGCGGGGCATTTAACCGCTGTCATTTCCCTGCCATGCCAATTGCAGCCAGTATGTTCTTAAAGGACACACAGCTCAGTCCTGTATTTTCCTTTTGCTCAACTGTTTCTCAAATCAATTCACAAAGTAAACACACAGCGGAAAAGGCCGGCCTGTCCCAGACTCTCTTTCATATCATCCGATTTGTCCCACAATTGTTTTTAAGATCTAGTCACCCTACTACACTTCTACATGAAAAATATAAATTCTTAACCACAGAATAGATTTGGAGCAATTATTCACCAAGGCAAAAGAGGCGAACAAAAAACTACGAAACTGCTTGGTTGATATTTCTGTTCAAATCATGCATGTGTTAAGACTAACTTGTCTTTTTGAGCGCCTCCGGATCCTGGTGAAAACAGTTCTGTCTTCTTCAGACTTGATGTCTCCATCCTTCACCACAACATCTCCTTTTATTTGCCCCTCAGGCTCTGTGCTGTTCATGAAGCATCCTGCAAGATGCACACAAGCAGAAAAGTGACTAGTCATCAGTCCATGGATAGATGTAACTGTGTATTTTAGTCCTCTGATATGCAGAAGAGATCAATATCCAGCAGTGCATGGAGGAAGGACCAGGAAAAGGGAGAGTAGTGAGAAAGAGGAACGGATATTAATGAGGTAAAGGAGGCTATGGAGCAGAATTCAGCAAGGGCAGGGAGGACAGACAGACAACCTGATAGCAAGTCGATAACAAGGAAATCAATAAATAAAAAGTGTAAGAAATTTAAACATGAGTTGCAGAAAAGTTAAATATCTTATATCAATTACAAGGACAGAACTAAATATTTCTACAGAAAGTGATAGCCGGCATGAATGACCATCAATTCAATCAGTTCAGACTCTAAATCTGAGTAACTTGCATTCAATTTACAAAAAAACATAAACTTCTGATATCCTGGTGGCTAGAGGTCAGAATATGGGTCCTACCTGGACAAGGAGGTGAGAAGAGATCAATATTGGGCATACGATACACAACGTGGTCTTTCTGGTGAGACAGATACATTTTTTAAAAAATCAGATTTTAATTATTAACTTAAAATAAAAGGCACTAATGACTAAAATGCTCCACTAATCTGGAATAAAATCTCAGAAAACTGTAGTAGTGCTGAAAACCCTCAGTTGCTTTCAATGCAGATTATAAACTTATGTTTTACACTAGTTTTGATTGGACTATCTAAACATTATTAGTTACGTTTTTTGCGCAACTTTTTTGAATTTTGTTATTAATCATTTTGTAATACTTTTTTCTTTATTATTTAGAAATGTACGTGTATTTTCCTATTATGTAAAGCAGTTTGAGTCATCTTGCTATTGGGGTGTAAATAAACTGGCCTTGGCCATCAGACTACCTGCAGGTGAGGCCCTGATTGTTCAAATCAACTCTTTTGGTGAAACAGAGACTGCAGTGGTTATGGTGAGGTAGCTAATATTAGCAATCTTCCACTAATGACTTGAAATTAAGGAGTAGGAGCAAAATCAAACTTTGCGGAGAACGCCCATTGGTGAGCTTTTCTAGTTTAAAAAACAAGCCCACACATAAAAAAAAAAACATACCATATTCACACTCTGGATTTAATGAAAGTGTTTAATTGAAGCTCAACAGCAACAAATGAAAAAGTCGGACTTTGAATTGTGAAGGAAACATTTTTATGCTTTGCAGACACACAACAGTGAGAGAGGAAAGTGCTCTAATGCAAAATTAATCATCCACGTGGTCATAATAATGGCTGTAACAAGTGCTGGACACGGTGGTAGACTTAAGCTGTGGATAAATACTTTATGAAACTACCTAGCAGAGACTAAGAGCAAAGCAGTGAGGCAGAGAGTGAAGGAGTTTTATGACAAGCTGAGGGATTATTGATCCATCTCTATGTAATTGAACCACATTTCGATTACTTTGGGTCTTAATGGGAAAAAAGCTCAGACTGCTTCATTCTGGAACACTCAGCTTTCAGTCTTCTTTTTTTTTAATGACATGAATTTCATAATCAAATCTGAATGAGCCTTAAAATACAATTTGAGTTATGCATCTGTGAGAAATTGGTTTCCTTTAGATGTAAGCAAGCATATATCTCGGTGAAAGTGGAGTGTATTAGCTCAATATTTTCCATTCAGAATCTGAGAGATAGAGTAACACTGTCTGGACGGATGAGAAATCATCCAGAGGAGGCGGAAAGACAGAATGAAGAGGTGGCAGCTCTGGTAACAACCCAAAGTGCTAAAACATAAAGTTATTCATGCAGATTCCAAGTTTAATCTCCAGTGTTCGTCACTCATCTCACCTCTCCATTGCCAACAGGTTCAATCCCATAAGAGAAGTTGCCATCAGAAAACATCCCCCTGAGAACAATTTAAAGTAACATATTTATTTCAAGAATAATTAATAAACCAGTTTGTTTTTCAGGTGACAATAACTGATCCAGTGTTCCACTCACTGCAGGCCATGGCAGGTAGACACTGCAGCCCAGGAGCCAGGCAGCCCCCGCACTCGCCCATGGTAGTAGCAATGCTCCCCGCCCTGAAAACAAATAATAGATTAGAGTGAGACACTTAACCCTCCACCATCCTGTAACGTGTTAATGTCATGTTTCCGAAAATGAAACCAGTGCCTGTCTGAGAACCTTGAGCTGCCACTGATCACCTGGCCCCTGCAGGGCAGGTATTTTCCATCAGCCAGGTGGGTTATCTGATGTTTGCTTAAACAGATCAGTTGCTGATCAACATTAGTGTTCAACTTATGTGCATTTCACAAAAAAATCTTCTAAAACCTTTACAAAAAGTTCAGAGTAATATCTTTGCAGACATTCTCTCAGTCAGTGTATGACTTTGCCCATTCAGAGTATAGGAAAGCCTTAGACTGATAGGTGTATAACAATCCACTTCAAGGTTACAGTGTGTAAGATGATATTGAGGTGGATTGCATAAGAAATCTTCAAGGGCGTAAACTCTGCAGTGCAGATTATGTTTACGGCATGTGTAATTCTGCCACTGACTGGACTTATAACATCTTCATATCTTTGTTTTGAAGAAACATAGATCTAGTTCCCTCAATTTTCCACCAAACTAAATATAATTTTCTTAAAGTACTATCTAAAAAAACGTTTACATCTAGACCCGTTTCATCATAAGGACTTACTAGGCTAGGTAGCTTCCACCAGACTTTTTAAGGTATTTTAAAGTTTTACTCTGGCTAGTCTTTCTACATGAAATCACACGTAGTGCGACATGTAATCAGCAGAAACCAGAAGAGTAAAAATTTGTAAGGAATAAAGACAAGATGTATCATAGTTTAGATCATAAGACACATGTCAAATTTATCATCCAACGCATCAATGGAGATAACTTTGTTGGAGCTAAATCAAGTAAGAGGTGAGAAAAAAATGAAAATGAATAAGAATTAAGATCTTTTTTTTATTAGGGGTAATAATCTAAATATTCTTAATATTTTTTACATATATGACACAGATGTAGGTTAAAACAAAATGGAAATGTCTGTGTGTCAAACTAGGCATAAAATAACACATTAAGCAAACTAGCTCAGATGTATTCTTTTTAAAATATAATCTATGTCAACAATAATCCAATCAAGTTACCTCGTTTTGTTCAAAATTGAAAGGCACTTAAGGACAGCAATTTATAAAGGCAGTTCTCCTAAAGCATGTTTGAGGGCCACATCCGGGATCTCCTCGGGGCCCTGGCCCTTCTTATGATGTCATCATATGGCAACACCACTCGGACAAACTGTATTTCACCTGTTTCTTAAGAATCAGATCTCTTCTGGAGTATCAACATATTATTACCAGTTTTTTTTAAGCTATTATTTTAAACTTCATTGGCCTTCTAAAGTAGCCCGAAAGTAGAAAACAATCATTCTCAGTCTTGAAGTCAAGAACTGTGTTCTAAGACAGACTGAGCTCTGCCATTTAACAAGGTGACACAAGAAAATTCAGTACTTCTTATTCTTTTTATTAAGATCTGAGGGCAGGGGAGGACGAATTGAACATCTTCAAAAACGACTTTCATGGAGATTTTAGACAAACAAAACAACAGTTATTATATTTGTAGAAAATCAACAGCTGTTCATTTTGACACAAAATTAAAAGTAGTGTAGGTTAATATGGCTAACTGATTGAGCACAGCTAGCCACAGCACTCCCCAGCTCTCCCCATTTATATCATAGTCTTGCAGTTACTTTGTTTAACATAAACATAATTTTTAAGTTTTGTTATCAATAAGGTAAAACTTCATAGATCATTAGCCACGCTAACACTACAGATGCTCCCGACTCGGCACACGGATGCTGCATTATATTATTATCGTTGACTGGGCAACCACAATGTTTTACGTCATGTGGTGACGTTCAGCCAATCATATAGTGCAATGGCACTGGCATGCGCAGGATCTGCAGCTCTGGTACCTACACTGGCCCTCCAGTGGCAATTTATCCGGCCCTCAAGATCCAAAAAAGGCATGTCATGTCATAAAATAGAAGCATGCATTCTTTTGAAAAAGCATAAAGTGGTTTGAACTGCTAAATAAATTGAAGTAAAATTATAATACCAGAGCATTGTGCTCTTTTTTTATAAATAAAGTGCTGAAATTAAAGTGAGGATACATCCATCCATTTTCCATCAATCTTATCCCAAGCATGGTCACGAGGGATGCTGGTGCCTATCTCCAGCTGGCTACGGGCGAGATGCGGCGTACACCCTGGACAGGTCGCCAGTGCACCGCAACATACTTTTGCAAGATTTTTCAAACATAAATTTGCCAAATATAAGAGGAACATCGTAGTTTGGTTTAAAGAAAGCATTTCAGTCTCATTATAATTTAGTTTTTTCTAAGGATTTTACAGTTTGAAGAAATAGAAAATTACACCATATCGCTAAAACCAATCCCATGATGTATCGTTATTACTGTCACCTGTCAAATAAACAGCAAAACAAGTCCTCAACCCCCCACCGTCTCTTGGAAAAAAACAATAACTACATGGAAATAAACATTGGTTGTAAATATGGGCAAGGTTTGCTTGTCAGAACAATAGCGGCAATGTAAAAAAAAACACCAATATTCCCGATACCACTTTTGACGTGGTTATGTTGAGCAAAGGTTTTGTTTTGAACAGATGCAACTGGCCCTTTCAAAGGACTAATAAAATAACATCCCTTGAGGATTATGGTGACTGTTACTTTCCAATTCTTGCATCCAGTGTGAACAAAAACATTGCTAACCTTGTTTAAGCCTGATCAATATTGAAGCAGCTTTTCCACTTAGGTTCCAGTAAACTGTGACAGACTGAGTGATGGCTGACAGAGTTGGTGAGAGGTTTTATCCTCCCCTTTCAGATTCTTTCACTTGATTATGCGTAAATCCCTGCTGGGCTCCAACTCAACGATCATGTTTTGGATATAGTGTTTCAGAGCCGTCTCTCAGCTCAGGGAACTAATATAGCCAGATTACAGAGACCTGGAACGACCCTATGATGCCAATATATACATGCTTTTGTAGCTTTAAGAAGCTTTAAGCAGTGGAATAGTACACTCACATATTTTAGTTTGTAGATTCCTGGAAATTGGGAATGTGATATGCTCTCGTCTGTCAATGTGTGAAACAAGGAGAGTCAATTTCAGTTGTTTGTAATGAACCTCAGTAAGTCATGTCTGCAACTGGAGCCTGCTGCTGTACAGCTTAGATAACATAACAGAAATAAAATGAGCAACTCTCTCAAGCTAGTTTGCCATCATGGCCAAACTTATCTGAAAGTAGGTTTACATTGCTCTCTTTCAACACATTCTGAGAAGCATTCCTATGAGATATTGGTCCAAACTGACATGAATCAAGCAGATGTGACTAATCTGATGCTGACTGCACCTTCCTGCACAGATCCTGCACTTAACCAGATCGCAGAGAAGCTAAGTTGAAGTACAATCTGGTAACTGTGGAGGTTAATGGAGTTTATTGAGCTCACTGTCACAGGCTGCTGAAAATGCTTACCAGGATGTGAGTGCAATGTGGTCTTGAAGGGAGGTGGACATGGTCAGCAACGATACTCAAATGGTTTGTAGGTTCAAGCAGTTAGTACTAAAGGGCCCAAAATGTGCTAAGAAATCATTTCAACTACACTACTTCTACCGGCCTTACTGTCCCATCCTGACCAAGACAGGACCCTGTTTTCAAAATTTTAACGTTGAATCTGAGTATTGCAGTTGTTATCCAAATGGACCCAGCAACTGTTAAAATATTTTAGTTTTTCGCAATTTTCGTGAGCCTTTGTAAGTTGGAGCCACAATTTCCTGCTTTTAGTTGATAAGAACGGCACTCAATGTGGTCTTAAGCTGCTGCAACCAATCTGCCTCAATATGTCGTGTATTTAGAGGAGGCATTTCAAATACCAGGGTTGTACCAAGTGAATCTATTTATCTACTGTTGCCTTTTTTTTTATAATTTCTAAATAGTAAGCACCATTACCCTACAATATCTACAAGGCAATTCTCTCCACCCATGTGCAGTTCACCGAATGTTTCCTGTTTTTGGCACTATTCTCTTTAACCTGGGATGTGTGCAAATCCCAGCAGAAAAACTCTTCCTGAAATAGTCTGAACAGCTTGTTTGGCACAAACAACCATGCCACCTTCAAAGTGACTCCAGCTTCCTTTCTTTCCCATTATGATATTTGGCTTTACTTTCAAAGCCACTGTTTGTCCTGTATTAGCGAGCAAATGAAGTGATCTACCAAATGAAGCAGCTGGTCAGCATATGTAACTGACTTTATTAAATGTTTTTAAATGACAAATAACTTTTCCTAGCATTTCATCCTAATACTAAATTCAGTCTTTCAAAAACCCCAAACTTAATATTTAAATCAGGGCTGCACAATAATTCAAGTGCACTGCAAGGGATAAATGACAATATTTCATTTCTTAGATGGTAAAATAAAATAGGGCTGGGATCTGTTTTTGCTTTGTGAGGACCCAATTGAAAAAGTAAAAAAGCTTTTATCAACCAAACAGGTATGTTCTTATATGTTTGAGTTCATCTTGAGCTCTGACACACATCAAAACCAAGCAGAGGAAAAAGCTTAATTTGATACTCTAACTTCTACAACTACTTGAGTAATAAACATTAATACTTTTGACACCTCTGGCAATGACTGAGAAACTGAAGCCAAGGACTAAAAAATAAAGATGGAAAGATTATCACCTGGTTAAATGTGCATTTCATCTATTGAGCTTGTAGATCGAAAACATAATTGTATTTTATTATTTTTTTTTACTGTAGGTGTTGCATACTGTAACATTCAAAGCTTTATACAAGATTCTTTTGTTGGCTTTCTTGGCAGCTTTTCTGAGGCTTTTTTATTGTTTGTGTCGATATCAGATTTAAAGCATATAGACCCAAATCTAGAAATAAATAAGGTTCTATAAGTTTTGGCAATTGGTACTATTTTTAATTTTCACAGGGTCTTCAACCAGTGTGGTAGCGTTCTTTTAACCAGGTGACTGGCAATGAACAGCAACA